GCTGCTGACCGGACGTCTAACGTGACGCAATTTTCTAAATTGTATTTTGACCTTCGATTTTCGATTTTTCTTTTAAAAAATACCTGCAGAACCCAAATTTTCACCCATTTTTTTCAAAATTATTTTCAATTTAATCCTTTATCAATTTACTCAATTTTTCTATTAAATTAAAATAAAACAAAATATAATATAATAAAATAAATTAAATAATAAAAAAATTATATTTATTAATAAAAAATAATAATAATAGAAAGTTTTAGGTCGGTGTTACACCTTTGGTCTATGCAATGCTCCTTCTACATTTCAAGTTGTTATGAATACTATTTTTAGACCATCTATGCGCAAGTTTGTATTAGTATTTTTCGATGACATACTGGTCTACAGCCCCAATTGGAACTCACATCTTGAGCATTTTAAACAAGTATTCGAGATTTTGTAGGAACATGGGTTCTTTGTTAAGCAGAAGAAATATCTTCAGGCATCAAGAGAATATTTGGGACACATCATTACACTGGCAGGAGTTAAGGTCAACCAAAGAAAAATCAAGGCCATGATAGATTGGCCAAGACCCACAATCATCACTGAACTCTGTGGGTTCATTGGGTTTATCGGATATTACCGCAAGTTTGTAGAAAACTATGGAATTGTGGCCAAACCCCTGAGTAAACTTCTAAAAAAAGGTATGTTCAAATGGGACTCTGCAGCAGAAGAAGCATTCACCAGATTAAAACATGTCATGACATCTACACCAACCTTGGCACTCCCAAAATTTTTTGAACCATTCACCGTAGAAGCTAATGCATATGGAGAAGGGATTGGGGCCGTTTTGACTCAACAAGGGAAGCTGATTGCCTATATGAGCCGAGCCTTGGGGGTGTCCAAATAGTCTTGGTCTATTTATGCTAAGGAAATGTTGGCTATTGTGGTGGCTGTACAGACTTGGCGACCTTACCTTCTGGGACAAAAATTTTTTATTACCACTGATCAGCTCAGTCTGACCCATTTAGTGGACTAGAGAATCACTACACCGGAGCAATAAAAATGGGTATCCAAATTATTTAGCTATGACCATGAGATCACTTATAAGCCAAACAAAGAGAATAATGCTGCAGACGCCCTATCCCAACAAAGTAACAGCCCTGCCCTAGAAGCCTTCTCCATCTGTCAAGCAGATATATGGGAATAGATCAGAAAAGAAGCGAACCATCCTTATATCAAAAAGCTGGACTAGTTAGCCAAGGACCAACTGAATGGGCCATATCATTCCAGAAATGGGTTACTCTTTTACAAAAACTGACTGGTACTTCCTCCGAATTCAAGAATAATCCTACAGTTGCTCCGAGCCTACCATGACTCCCAGCTGGGTGGACATTCAAGAGTTCTCCGCACTTATAAGCGGCTCGCCCAACAGTTTTACTGGCCCTCTATGAAGAAAGTAGTACAAGCATACGTAGCCACCTGTGAAGTCTGTCAACGAGCCAAATTCGAGACCTTATCTCTAGCAAAACTCCTTCAGCCTCTCTCTATTCCTTGTATGGTATGGGATGATATCACTATGGACTTTATTGAAGGTCTCTCCATATGTAAAGGATAAAACACTATACTGGTAGTAGTTGACCGTCTTAGCAAGACAACACATTTCTTGGGGCTCATCCACCCATATACAACCAAAACGTGGCTAAGAAGTTCGTAGATGGAGTCATAAAGATACATGGCATGCCACGTTCTATTGTAAGTGACTGAGATCCTATTTTTATTAGTAACTTTTGGAATGAATTTTTCAAGCTCTCAGGTACATAACTAAAGATGAGCTCTTTATATCACCCGCAAACTGACGGCCAATCCGAAGTAGTTAATCGTTGTGTCGAGCAGTATCTCCGATGTCTAGCCCACCAAAGGCCCAACAAGTGGCACTCTCTGCTCTCGTAGGCGGAGTACTAGTATAACACCACCTACCACTCCTCCATCGGTATGACACCATTCTAGGCTCTATACGGGCGACCGCCCCCTGCCATCCCTCACTACACCACTAAGACTACCTCCATCCATGAGGTTGATCAGCAGCTCACAACTTGTAATGAAATCTTAGCATAATTAAAGGCCAACCTACACGCTACCAACCAATGCATGCAACAAACCGCCAATTCTGGACGTCGCCATATGGAACTCCAAGAAGGAGATTAGGTCTTCCTGCGACTCCATCTCTATCGCTAGCACACACTCTTTCGATGCGCCTTACAGAAATTAGCCTGCAAGTATTTCGGGCTTTATCAAGCGGAAAAGAAAATCAGCCCAGTAGCCTACAAGCTCAAACTCCTGGAAGGCTCCCGTATTCATCATGTTTTCCACATTTCACTCATCAAGAAGCAAGTTGGCGATTCCCTCTTGCCTACTCAAGACCTTCCCACCACCGCCGAAGATGGCGCTGTTATTCTCCAACCAGCAGCAATCCTCGATCACTGTTGGGAAAAAAAAGGGTCACGGTTCATTGAAGAGAGCTTGGTAAAGTGGCAACACATGATCTCCGAGGATGCCACATGGGAGAACTCACAAACCTTATAAGAGAGATTTCTTGACTTGAACCCTGAGGACAAGGTTCTTTTAAAAGATGGAGGTGACGATAGGATCCCCTGAAGATCTCAACGGATCCCTATCCCCAACCTAAGATATGTGAACAAAGGATATCATGCCAAGCAGAAGACTCGGTCCTCCATGAATGTGACCAGCTTCTCCGAGATTTCCTCTAACAACTACAACTACGGGAAGCAACGGGAACCAGCTTCAGCTACCACGATCTGTTCCACTGCAACTACCCACCACGATCTGCTCCACTAGTATATCCATTAGCAGTATTTACAATTGCATGTAATTTCCTTTTTATCCAGTACGTGAAAGTAGAAAATTTCAGTTAAACTCTTGTTTATTTAAAGAAACCACCATGAATGAAAAAATAGATCAAAATTTATTCTAAAATTCTAGGTTTGCTTCTCACCTCAAGCAGAAATAACCAAGCCAAGAGTGTGAACTCTGATTGGGACCTATCAATCCCATAGTTTATATTCTAAAATAAATAAGTTAGTAATAAATACATATAATAAGAATTGTATAGTTAATATAAAATTCCAACACTAGTAAATAATTAGATAATTTAATAAACTTAAAGAATAATTCTCAAATACCAAAAGCACTAGAATAAGGGAGTAAAACTACTCATTCATTACGTTAAATCCAAAAATTTTCAATAAAATGTAAAAAAAACTCATTTGAAATTCTATCCATTCGAAGTAGTAAATAAATATTAAAAATATAAATGATGCAAATACGTAGGCATCATCTATGCGATCTAAAGTAGTAGTATGTGTGCAGCAGATCAAACTCTAATTCAGAAATAATTAAATTTCTTGAAATTGAATATGAAATAATTCTAATTCATTATTCTACACCAACAAAAAAAAAAAATCCTAAATTTGTAATATATGAATAAACATTATTTTTCAATTATAATATTATTTTCCAACATACTGGGTTTAAAATTTCATACTTATATAATGTAAAACAAATTTTAAAAAATCTAGTTATCCCAGAACATATCATATTTCCCACATGCATAAACTAAAAATATAGAATTATAAATTTAATAGAAAGAATCAATAAAAAAAAAAAATATTTTCAAAGAGTCTAAAGTTACTGTCATCATTCGCCTTCTTCGTGCAACTTTAAATATTCAGAAATTTATAATTTTTTCAGTTCTCATTAAAATCATGTAATTTCTTTACGGTACGTTAATTATAATTGTATAAATTTGGTGGCTGAAATTTGACTAAAAAATAAAAAAATTGCCAGAAACATGTTGTCAAAACTCTTCTAACTCTCCCCTCCCCTCATTTAAATAACATGACAATAAATTACTAAATTAGTTTGAATAGTCATATTAGGCCTATCTCATTTCTTTCTATTTTTCCCCTGCTCTCTTAGAATTCTATTCTATTATATGGATGTGAATATATATATATATATATATAGTAGTAGTATGGCTAAACCTTAATGTATTCTTTCTATTATAAAATAAACTTTTAACATAAAATTATACCTTATAATAATTATAACAATATTTATTTCTTTAGACCAAGAGTTACAATTCTAATTAAAGTTTTTCCAAGTTGACAGACTTATTGTTCAAATAGTTCCATGACATAACATCTACATCCAAATAATTCCACTTCATTATGATAGGTCCCAAACAAAAGCCAGATTTGATAGAAAGTTATTATTCTGCTTTGGATGAGAATAAATTACAGCTTTTATTGAGATATAAAAAAAGTTGAATGCTTTTCATTACTGTTCTTGCAGATCAAATACAGAAAGAAGTAACAATGGCTTCCTACTAACTATTACTGAAAAAGTAGCAAGTGAAGCAGACCGAGCTTTTATTAATGGCTACTTGCTCGAATCTCTCCTTATTCCCCATATTTCATCTGTTGATTTTCCCCACCATGTTTCCCATGTTCTCTAGTTAGTATATCTCGGGTTCCTTACTGGTTTTCTTTGTGATCTTTGCGGTGCAACAGTTTATAAGTGAATTGAAACATTATTACGAATAGATTTAAGTGATTATACTTAAAAGAGTTAAACGCCGTTACAATTAGGATTAACTGAAAAGAGGACAACAAACCCAGACACCAAAAAAGATTAAACAAGCGTGCATATATACTAACTAGCGGAGGAGTATATTATATAGCTTCCAAATCCCATTATACAAATGCTTAATGACCCTGCAAATAGGATACCTAATTTTAATCATAAAATTTGAATGAAAATTTGAGGAGGTCAAGAATTTTAGAAGAAATTAAATACATAAATTTTTTAAATGTTTGCTTGGGTTAACAGAGAGTTTCCTAGATGGATATTATCGAATATCATCTTTTTGCGGGGTATATTACGATATATCTTCCAATAAACATAAGATATATATATATATATATATATATATAGATTTTGAATAGAAATCAAGGTTGAACAATCGAATTTTTAGTAAAAATAATCATGCCACTCCAACTAAATCCTCTTACCCAAATGAAAAAAAAGAAAAAAAAATCAAACCCACATTATAATATGTAATTACTAAAATACCCATCAAGTGTACAACGGCCAATCCGTCCATGCTCCGGCTACATGTCCATTCTCACAAACGTAAGCTCGGACCACCGGCTCGCCGTCGTCATGATACCCGAACACCCGCCTCAAACAGAAGGCTGAGTGCAGATCCCATGTCTCCTTACACGAACAAAACGCACAATTCACATCAATCTTCCTTCGTCTTCCTTCGTTTACCGTTCTCCACACACGGGATCTCTTGAAATTCATGAATACCCCTCTGAACACCATGTAATTTCTCTTCTCCTCAATATGAACACACCCCGGCCACTCACACATATACAAGCAATCGCCTCGAAATCTACTCGCCAGCAGTTTATTCCCTTGTTCTCTACTCAGATTCCAAACCCCTGATGCCAAATGAGATCTCATCGATCTACAAATCTTCCTCTTCTTACTAACCCAGAATTTCCCAACACCTTCAACCGCCCTTTTTTCCTCCGTTTCCGCAACATCATCTACACAATCGGAGGGGTTATACACCGTGTCGAAATACAGATCGTCGAAAAGAGACCAAGAACAATCAGACCCAGATGGGAATCCCTCTGGATTACTCGAACAGGGTGGATCTGGAACGGGATTCAACCCCTGAGAATGAGGTAAAGTTTGGTCATTCTCGTCAGGTCCGAGCTCGAGGTCGAGCCCAAAATCGGAGTTGTCAAGGAGGACACCGGCATGGAGCAGGCCCGGGCAGCAGACTAAGAGTTTGTAGAGGGAGGCCCAGTCGCCGGGGATGGAGAGAAAATCGGAGACGACAGCGGGGAGGGCGTTATAACACTTGATCTTCCAGCAGATATTACGGATGAGAGAGGAGAATTTGGTGCAGACACAGGCGAGACGAGCCCAGTTTCGGGGGTCGTCTTCTAGCTTGGAAAAGATGTTGAGAACGACGTCGTCTGGGATTCCGGAGAAGAAATTTGGTGTCATTGTTGGCGGGGGAAGAAGATGATCAGAAGGGAATTTTGATGGGTATTTGTGGGTTCTCCCCACCGATCAACAAAATGTTTAACTAAAAGATGATGATCATAATTCCACCAAGCTTCTTAACATTTACACATATTATATATTTATATAAAATACTAAAACTAATTTATTTTTAGGAGGATGAAAAAAGAAGAAAAAAAATACTAAAATTTAAGCCCACGTGTCTTTTGAAGAGTAAGCGATGCAGACAGATGACATTCTAGCTGGCTTATCTGGTAGCTTATCTCTTATTTAGTGTGAGGCCAATAAATGGGTGAGGAAATTAAAGAATGGGGCCTAATTTACGAAGGGATATGTACCTATCCTAATGTCTCTGTATTTACTTAATACACATTTATGCATATATATTCCATAGACTAGTTGTGGAAGGTAATAAATTCGTGAATATTTGCAAGATTTTTTTTTTTTTTAATGAATAGGAATAGAATATTACTCACTCACTCACTCTAGGGTAGGTAGTATTTTTTTCTTGTCATGAAAGGAAAAAATGAGTACATGGCTAAAATTAACATGTAAATTGTTATTTTATTTTATTTTGTATGTTGTATAATAAAAATATAATTAATTTGTCACTGTTTGTTGTTGCCAATCTTCTATTGCGGCCATTGTCACCTTTCATCTTTAAGCTATTGCTGTAACACTAATTTATCACTACTATAATTTTTATTGTTTTTTTAACACAAATACTACCATACTTTTGCTATCACCATCTTCATTGATGGTTTCACTCTTCGTAGTTGTCACCCTCATCGCTACACAAATATAATAAATGTGTTTTATGAGTAATGAGATAAATCATTATTCTATAATTTATTTTAAAGATACTTTTATCAAATATTTTATTAAACTATTAGTAAAAAAAAAAAAAACTTTTATTGAGATATTTGAATTGATTTTGTTAAATAACAAAAACTTAATTTTCTAATCTATTTTTGTTTAAGTTTTCGAAAAGTTTTTTGCAACAAATTTGAAGAAAGAAGAAAGAAACATGAAGATCTCTAAGAAAAATATCATAAAATAAGAAAAATGGAAGACAACTATATAAATCAATTTTTTGAAAGTAATCTTTTTATATGGATGTGATGAAAGATGTCCTTGCACTTCATCACATCACAACCAAAACTGCAACTTTTTAACGCATAAAGCTCGTGAGCATTTAATACTTAAAGCTAGACTTTGCTTATGTGTCTAACAGTTCTTTCTCCATCTAAACCTTTAAAGTATTTCCCTTAACTTGATTTTTTATCAAGCCCATCATTAGTGGGCTCATCAGCCGAAGTCAAATTGTGTGGGGTGTGAGCCTAAAATCAGGAAGATCCCAGGATAAAAAAAAAATGCCATGTTTCATTTAATAAAGGAGTTGTTTTCATGTTGTGCAGGTGTATGACTGACATAAGGGAACATGTATATATACATCACTTGTTTTAGAAAACCTAGACATTTTGTAACACCCCGACTTTTTTACAATTGACCAATTTCAAAACTACGATATTTCAAGTCTTCGCCCATATGAAATTTTCATTGAAAATATGAGTTCCTTTTTATTTTAATTAGTTTCCCAAAAATTTTATTCCAAATAACATAAATTTCAGAAGAAAAAAGACGACAATAAAATAAAGAACATGGGAAAACACGGCTTGGGACTCGTGACTCGCGAGCTGTAGCCCATGAACCGCGAACAGCGTTCCCACACTGCGTGCGCCCTATGTGCAACTGTTCTTAGCATAGTAGGACCTGTGCGTGGACAGTGTACAATGCAGTAGTGTCTGCGCATGCACAGTACACGGCGTGGCCGCCTACGTACGCGCATAATGCTGTTGTGCCCTGACAGCCAATGGGACAACCTTGTCCCGTTGGTCAAAGGCCATGTTTGGCCCTTTTTCTCCTTTGTGGCCATGCTTGGTGGGCCCCAAATCCACCCTCTCACTCCATTTCACCAATTTTTGCCAAGTAGCGCAAATCCGACATTTCCATCTCCTATTTAAATCCCTTTCTCCTATCTATTTCTCCACACCATTTCTCCTTCTTCATTTTCTAAATTTAGAGAGAGAAAGAGGAGAGACTTTTAGGGAGAGAAAAGAGCAAGAAAGAAAGGAAAAGTTTGGAGTTTCACAAGCTCGTTCGGGAAAGTTTATAGGCACTTTTCCTTCGCTT